TTTTAATGCATATATGTCGCTGTGGGCTGCAATTTTGAGTCACCCTGTATCAGTTCAGAATCGAGTTGAATACTCTTATATAATATTTGTCCATGGATTGGTACTCGAGGCTCCTCATGTACAGATTAAGAGAGACAAATCACGCAGGAGTAAACTCTTAAACACATGGTGCTATCAAGGCTTTCACACCATTGTATTTTTATTTTCATTTTTGCGTGGGATCTCATTTGACCAAGTAAATTGAGTTAGACCTTTCGAGACTCTCGGTAGGAGTTTGTGGGAAATTTGCCCCACGGATCGAGTATTCATATTTAGTAGAGTTTTCTTGGATGTTGACAAAAAAATAAATTGTATTGGTAACAATGGGAAGTTATATTAGCAAAATATTCGTGTATATACGTATTCGTATTTTCATTTGCTAAAGCTATATGTCAATATATAGGTAATATATATGTAATATTTTTGTATGTGTTCGTGCGGTAGAGTATATTTCGCCCATATGATCACTCACTATACACAACATTGCCTTTTCTCGGGAATGATATATAGATGGAAATATATGTCGCATACGTACGCTACAGCCACCCTCCGAAAACCCTGAACCATATATTGGAGACAAATAATATGACCCCCCACCAAAACATCCATAATTAAAAATTCTTAATCAGAAAGCATACAAGACTTGATTGAAACATGACGAAAACTATTAGACAATTTTAGGACCAGTAGTGGGCATGACGGCCTTCACTGCATGTATTGGAGGGCAAATATACTCTATGCACCACAGGGCTGAGGGCTTCCGCTGGTCACTGCATATATACTTGAGGGCATATACAGGGTGGTCAAAAAATTGAAAAATTGCTAAAACATGTAGACACCAACATATTATTGAACAGTAGTTCATTCTAATTTTCCTTCAAGCTAACTTGATGAAAAACTTCACCTTGACCAAACTTCCAATATCTTAGCCGTGAAAGATGACATCTGGTATAACATGTTTAACATTTGTATACGAATTGATTGGTATCAGGCTTTGATGGTTTGGATATATTAATGATGGCCGTGTAATATTCTTCCCCAGATAATAAAGCTGAGGGCAGTTTCATTTGACTGATCAATGAAGCTCCTCGCTTTATATTGTTGAAATGCAAAATGATCACAAATTTCCTTTTTAATCTGAAAGACTGGTCAGGTCTATATTTGATTTTTCTCTGTGTTGTAGGTCAGTGACTTGTTTATTTTAAACTTTATAAAATCGCCTAAGATTAATAAGGGTTGTCAAAGTAGAAGATGTTTTAATAGGAAACACTGCAATAAATTAAAGCATATTTAAAAAAACGTTCACATTTGAGTGATACAAATTAATATTAATTTTTAGAATTCAAAATTTAATTTTTTATGGAACGGGCCCGCGATGGTCCTGAGTCTTGACAATAGCGGGCCTTTGTGGAGAAATACCCATCTCGCTCTTTAGATTTATTTTATATCCCTGTTTTATGTCCCTAAATCTTCAGTACTTTGGGAACGGGATACATAGAATATTTTTGTATATATCCCCAAAATAGTCATAAATAATATTATGCGGCAACATATGTGGCCGAACTAGAATGAAATAACACGTATAAATATTCGTTTTTTATCATTTACAATAGCAAAACATCCGTTTCGGTAACAAGTGACAGTGTATTAAAATGCGTGTCCGTTGTCGTTTTTACGTAACCGAAGCGGGGAATTAAATGGACGTTTCTGCCATCCCAAGAACTATTTCGTGAAAAATCACTTGGTCGTCCAGAAAGATTTGTTGCTTGTACACTTGTGCCGAAAAGATACGGATGGTTTATGCTTTGGTTTATTCCGCAACGAATATGGCATATTCACTTGCGGCGTATGACAGATTCACCTGCGGTATATGGCATACACACTAACCAATGAGAACGCGATACGGAAGTACGCAATTGTCAATTAGATCGATTGAACGAACAAGTAAAACGTTATAAATTATCATAATGATTACTGAATCAATAGTACTGTGTATCGAATATATTAACTTAGCAGAAGTATCAGTCACCAATCTCGCGTAATAAACTTTCTCAATCAAACCAGGATTCATATATTAGTACTCGACGCACTAACTATATTGGTAATCCAGCGTAGTTTTACATTTAGAGTCGATTCTCGCAACCAATCAAATCAAGGCTTTCTGTATCACGTTTTCACCTGCGGTATATGTCATATTCACCTACAGTATATGGCATATTCCGCAAGTGAGTATGACATATTCCGCAGGTGAGTATCGGGTATTCACTAAAATCAATATATCGCATATTCACTGCGGAATATCGCATACTCGCCTGCGGAATATGCCATATACCGCAGGTGAGTATGGCATTTTCACCAGAATCACAAATACCGCGCAACCATGAATGTATGCCATATGCCGCGTAACAGTAACCGGCATTATCGAGTGAAGCACCAGTGATAAGTTAAATATGCGTATATGAAGCTATAGGCAAAAGTGAATTGAAATTTTGCGTTCGAAACAAACAAAGAATATTTATATACGATAGATCATAATTTTTAAATAATCGATCCATCTTATCGAAAGGGAATACTTTTTCCTCTAAATCCTTCGTTTATATTGTCGATAGGATACTGGTACTCCACTCGATTTAAACGCTGAATTACAGAAAGCGATCGTTGATCGGTAACAAAGTGTCGGAACCTCGAAGGTACGATTTTTCTTCTTTATTCCACGCGTTGTATGCAGAATTCCAAAGACATTTATAGCATAAACGTGTGTCAGTAACATAGACTATGTTTAAGAAAATGTACATGTTTACAAACAAATATTCAATAGAATCGTCGATTCATCAGAATACATCACTATTATTGATCTTAACTGTTTTGAAGTTCCGTTTACGTAACAAAAGTAAGGTATTAAATGGACAATTCTGTTATCTTCTGAACTATTAGCTCGCAAACGTGTACATTTTCTTAGACATATGTTACTGACATACGTTTGTGATAAAGTGCCGTGGAAATTCTGCCAACAACTCGTGAAAGAAGGAAAAAGAAAAGTCGTGCCATTTTGTTACCGAAACGATCTGTTTCGTTCACAGCGTAATCGAGTGGAGTACCAGTGTCGGTTATACACACTACTATACCCCCATACTGTATCCTGTATTCCTTTAAAATAAGTACAGGCTACAGGGAAGTTGCAAATGGAGGACGTTTGTTTATTTCCATAGTTCTGAATGTATACTAGATTTTACACATATTCTAAGTGTTCTACTATACATTGTATAGATTCATCGAGCAGTTTGCAACGTATTATTACCAGAAAAGCCCAATGGACAAAGATAGAGAATACCCGCTCCATTTGCAACTTAACCGTACCCTGTATCATTTTTAAATGTGGTAACGTGGTAGGGTAGTGTGTTATAGTAAGAAGACTATAGAAAGTATCACTGTGTGTGATTCCCGACTAAAACTTTTAGGGAGGTAAAGTTGGGGACAGGGGGATATATAAACATGCTAAAAGTGAGTTATCTCTATATAGGAGAGATTTCGCAACTCACTTATAGCATGTTTATTATTCCCGTATAACGTAACTTATGAAGCGTTTGATTACGTCATCATTTATTGCGTAGCTCTATACGTCCATAAGTGTGCTATTCTTATAAATCACCGTCTATACGCAAGAATATCATATTATGTATTATACGGGAACAATGCTACAAATGATTTGAGAATTATATACGGGAATAGTGCTATAAGTGAGTTGTGAAATCCCTCTAATGTATGGCCTAAAGTACTTATAAAGCGGGCAAAACTAAAAACATAAGAAGTCTTTCCAATTTAGACTCTTTATTTATTCTTAATCTCAAGTTTTTTTTACAAAATCATTAAACATTTCTTCAACAAACCTTAAAAAGTCTGAAAGCATCTTTTCAGTGAACTGTAATCTAGTGAGATATATTAGCTCTCAAACTTTTTGCTATATTCAAGAGAATCGCCGACCATATATACACGCATCAAGAGTAAAAAAATAAATCATAAAATGTTAGGCATCAAAGAAATTATTCTAAAAATAGGAGAAATAGTCATGCTCGACAAACATGAAAAGACAGGTGAAATTTTCTTTTGAAAATGTGCAAGTGATTAATGATGTCATATAACTAGTGAAAGTGTTTAATTATAATGCCGTTGACAGGAGGTAGACGTGAAGAATAAATGCATAAATCACTACACATACAAGAAACAGCAAAAATAAAACAAAATTTCAACGCATAAAAGAAAATGAAATTTACTAAAATAATGCTGAATCAATCTAAATGCGATCTAAATTATAACGAATCGTATTAGACTTAGACGTAATGAAGAAGACAGACATTATCTAAACAATATGCACATATGCAAAATAATATCTACAATTCAATAATCTTAAAAACTGTACACATTTATTTATATACACAATAAAATACTAAATAGCAGCTTCACTCAAAATAAAATCTATAAACATGAATCGAATCTACATCACCAGGATATTTTAAAGACTGTACAAAAAATACACGACATAAAATAATATATACTCGGTTATATATACATTATTTACATACATGACAATACTACAGTACATAATTATAAACATAACTATATATATTTACATATTATTCACAACTTGCATTTTCAAAAATCACGTGCCGTTCACAACGAGATCAAAGGCACAGTGATATTATATCATATCAATATGATATCATATGTTAATGTATCCTATCATATCAAAACATGATATTGATCGAACGGATTGTTTATCACATCACAAATCATCACATCGATAAGATCTTCTATCGATTTCCTACTTACCATGTTTATCATAGTAGCTGAGCTGAAAAATGCTCATAAAATCGTGGACAAAAATTCTTAAATTAAGAACTTTTTAAGAAAAATTATAACCACCACCACGATTCACAACCTTGATGAAGTATTCGTGCGTTCTTAACTCTTACAGTTTGGTTTTATTATTGATGACTAAATGACACTCAGACAAACCAAATGTCTATAATGGCTTGCGGTATCCAATGCGGACCTTACGCCTTCTCATTCCTGGTCTTGGGGGGTGACCGACCGGGCGTCGGATAATTTTTCTGTTCACCGGTCGTCTTGCAGGCTGTTTCTTGGCGAAAATTCCAGACTGGAAGTGGTTCCAACTGCACGAGCGCATGCTTCCACAGGTTTTTGTTTCCTGGAGGGGCGGACAAGATGCACCACCGTTCTGTGGTTTCTCAGTAATATATCTATGTCGTGTGTGCTCCCCGAATCCACAAGTCTTCGAGCAAGGTGACCAGCTACCCCATGGTGAAACATTGCAGTCTAAAGGCATCACTGTAAGTACACGAGAATTACAAAATTTAAGACTGAGGGATTAACGAATTAAGGTAGGCAATGGAAAATAAGTTATCTGACTAATTTATGTAGGCAGAGTAAAATGAGTGATCTGGCTTATAATAACTCTGCTGAGTAGAATGAGTTATGTCGCTAATTAAAGTAGGTCGAATTGAATACATAATCAGGCTATGTAATCACGGTATGTTCTAGTAGAATGGGTAATCTGGCTAATCAAGTTAGCTATTTGATGTGCAATCTGGCTAATTAAGGAAGGTAGAATAAGAAATCTAATCTAATCAAGTTAGCCATTGTATGCGTAATCTGGCTAATTAGGAAGGTAGAATGAGAAATCTGACTAATCAAGTTAGCTATTGTATGCGTAATCTGGCTAATTAAGGAAGGTAGAATGAGAAATCTGGCTAATCAAGTTAGCTATTGTATGCGTAATCTGGCTAATTAAGGAAGGTAGAATGAGAAATCTGACTAACCAAGTTAGCTATTGTATGCGTAACCTGGCTAATTAAGGAAGGTAGAATGAGAAATCTGGCTAATCAAGTTAGCTATTGTATGCGTAATCTGGCTAATTAAGGAAGGTAGAATGAGAAATCTGACTAATCAAGCTAGCTATTGTATGCGTAACCTGGCTAATTAAGGAAGGTAGAATGAGAAATCTGGCTAATCAAGTTAGCTATTGTATGCGTAATCTGGCTAATTAAGGAAGGTAGAACGAGAAATCTGGCTAATCAAGTTAGCTATTGAGTGCGTAATCTGGCGAATCAAGGAAAGTAGAATGAGAAATCTGGCTAATCAAGTTAGCTATTGAGTGGGTAATCTGGCGAATTAAGGTAGGCAGAGTAGAATGAGAAATCTGGATAATTTTCTAAAGTTAGCCAAAGTGTAACGAGCACTGAGAATGACAGTTCACATGTAGGCTTTCATTCTGAAATACAAAAACACCAACGATCTTGAGGATGTTTTGACGAGTGTATTTGGAATGCGACGTGCTAGAACAAGGAGCAGCAAACATGAGTGAAGAACACTTTTCAGACCAGACATGTCATCTCATCTGAGCAGTCTCACGTACACTCCCAACAAAAGGTTTGACAGGTCTAACTCCCCCATTGAGTCACAGCATTTTTGTAAAAGCTTGCCTATGTTTGGTGATCATAAAAGATTCCCATTTTCATTAATTTCTGACCTGATGCGATTGGGAAAGTAATTTTCAAACATAAACAGGCTATCAAAAAGTGATGGGTACTAAGGTTTTGGAGGGAGTGTAGATCCAGTGCCATGGTAACTTGAACAACTGGATGATATACTCAAGTACTCTGGCTCTAAAGTGATTAAAGAAACCTCCTAAAGAGACGTTTGAACATGTGGTTGAAATATGGAAGGTAAACGAAGTCAATGTGTAAGTCAAATGATGAAAAGAATGTCCGTGATTTACAATTTAACGTTTTGAGCAGTTGTAATGAAAGTTCAGTGGGGTGTAGAAGTTCTGTTGAATAGATACAATGTGGACATGTTTAGCTCAGTTCCTGTTGCTAGTTGAAAAAGAATCGCATTGAAGTAAGTTGGAAATCCAGGCCCTTGAAAATCGGCAGGGGGTTTGTATTAAAAAGCATGTGTTTCCATTTATCTAGATCTATACCAGCAAACTTGTTTTTTTAGTGGTTTCCACGTCTGGTTAGTATTGTGTAACATTCAACAGGGAGATCATTTGCAGTTTAGATGGACAAAACACAGATGTAGATTATTTTTCTAACATATTGCTCTTCTTAGACTTCCGTATCTTTATGTGTGGTTTTTCCCTCAACCGGCGTTTTGACCCCATTCCTATCCAACACAAGCGCTTATGTAGCACCCTCGGCAACATTTAAGATCTAGGTCCAGACTAATGGGCGATCACTTAACTATCACATACTGAATGTACCCAGACGCACTCTCTAGATCGTATCAATGAAGTTACGTGAACCAAAACAAGTTTCTAAAATATCAATGAAGGAAAAACAACTTACGTTCTTGGCCTTCCACCTTTTGATCTGGTGTGTCCTTTTCATACGGTCGGATTGGGTTGTAGTCCTCAGCAGGTAGAATTACTGAGACATCAGTTTGTGTCATATCTTCTTCGTTACCAGTCTGAGTAAGGTACGCCTTGAAACGATCGCTTTTGACATCCGTCTGTTTGTCATCAAGAACACTTGGTGTTGTTTTTGTAGTGAGACGTACTCGGAATCCCCCAATGACACCCTCGGTGCCTGGCTTGTACGGCAGAACGATCTTCTGTCTCAGTCCTTGCTTCGCCTCTTCATCCATCTTTGCCTTCAGGTTTGGAATGACTTCATCGCGTTGTTCGGTGTTGTCGGCTGCTTCATTGGAATTGTCTTTTAATTCATCATCCAGTTCCTTACCATTTGAGTCGTATGTCCCAACCTTTTCGAAGAAAACGACGCCTAATCGTGGAAGCTTCTTTGCCCCTGGATAGTAGAACGAATTTGCTGGGTGGTTCGGGAACGATGCGTTCATTTTATGTATAGCCTGTGGTGGAATTGAAGGCCAATTAGGGGCGCTGAATGTATATCCTTTATCCGTACCACCATCTACGGGTCCAAGGTCGAATTTCTTGTACTCTGCCCACTTGCCTTCCTGACATAAGTCAGTGCTATCGAGACCAATGAACCAATCAGGGCTTGGAATGAGTTTTACCATGAATGACACCTTTAAATACAATGGCAGGTCATTGTTAGAGGTACACATTGCTAACAAATTACTAAAACATGCACAAATGACATTATTACTGCACATTTACGCATATATCATATATACAAATCTTCTCATTTGGGAGACAATGTGCCATCACATATCATCGCCAAACAATGATTCAAGAAACCAAGAGCAAAAATATTGTTTGAGCAATGATGGGTGGTTTTTAATACTGATGATTCACCTTGTCCTGGCACTTTTTCAATTTAGTCTATTTGTGTAATCTGAGGAAAGATTAGGCAGCCATCTATATATATAATCCGTAATTGATCTTACCTTTGAATGTGTCGCATCAACGAGAACCTTAACATGTGTCTGGCCGACTCCCTTCTGGATCGGTGGAGCGTAGAACACGTCAAGGACTCCATCATACCCTTGTGGCTCCCCATCGAGTACCCTTGTTCTTCCAGTTTCTGCAAATTCCTTCACCCCTTCAGAAGCAAGTGCCCCAACCGACCAGAATGAGTATTTGCTGCTGTGGGTGCGACCTGAAAGTATATATTTGATTAAGATAATAAGGTTATCCCTACTGATAAAACTGTCTAATATATTGATAGTATGTTTCCAAGAATCATGAACTTTTGATTAGATTACTACACTCATGTGTATTCATGTTACTTGAATTATGAGGTCGGTTTAATTTTAAGATTTCATGACATATCTAAACAGCACGATCATACATAAGTGAGAAATATACGAACTTTTGTGATCTAAACTGGAATTCAGTAAGTTTATTTATTATAGAAGTGCTTATATTGCGGGGTTATTAATATTGTAATTATAAACTGAACAAAATGGAAAAACTGTAATTTTCATTTGTCCTAGAGTAGTACAACTAAACTCTCACACACTCACTTATGAGAAAAAAATAAAGTTGAATTTAATTCATTCAATCGTTGTTCTGAATTAATGTGAAAGAAGAACAATGAAACTGAATTTATGTTCAACTCCCGAGTGATGGTTTATTGTATATCTGTCACATTAGTTACGGAGTGAAGACGTGTTTCCTGTGTCTCTTTTATACACGTATTCAAAAGAATCTCAATAAACTGTTTGTATCAAATGGTCATATTGTAGCGTTAGAAAAGTTTTTTTGCTAGCTAATTTGGTTATTTATCTCTTCTGTTTCCAGTAGTCGTAATTTGATGAATTATGATGAACTTGGTTTATCTTGAAAGCAGACTCTACTAACACTCCAGGGTCCTAATCTCTAATTTATTATCTGCAACTCGAAAAGTACACCTCACTCTTGTTCAATTTGATTTCAAGAAAGCGTATGACCCTCAGGAAATGTAAAGTTACTTTCATCATCTCGACACACATGCATTGAATCACATTTGTTATATGAAATTTGTTTTTGGTAAGGACCAAAATATAAATCATATCTGTCATTGTATTGTGCAACATTTAAAAAAATGAATCGCTTGAATCAATTGAGGACGCGCCGTCTTACTTACTCTATACATGTAACACTTCAATTGTTTTAAATCACCTACAATGAGCTCATGCAGTCAACGATGACTCATATTTGAACGTTTAAGATATAGATAGTTGTTCAGTACTTAATAATTCGATTATAACCATAACATTGCATACACGTCATAATATACGGGTAAACAAATCATTTTTCAAAGTTATGAATGATTCAGTTTTTGAAATCATGTTTTGGTTGAAACTAGTATTGTTATTCATCTGTATTTCAACTACAACGGGTCAATGTTTCACTAAGTTTTGTGGTTAACTATGGCGTATTCCAATTGACCTTAACCTCTGAACCAAAACAAGGAAGTTATAAAGAAATGATTCAAAAGATTAATGCTATATGACAAACCTAAAAGCTAAATGAATAGGTTTTTATGCTAAAGAAGTATGTTTTGTTTGTCTAATGAACAACAGAATGCATTATCGAATTTTGAATATGAAGTGATGATGTGTGGCAGGGGTGGATGCCCCTTGAAACAATATCCTCTTTTCCATTCCCTCTACTGGTGATCGCATCTTTGATTTTCAAGTTGGTTATAATGAATTGGAGAAACTGGAAACATGGAAATCATGATGCAAGTGATGGTAATACGAGCACAATGATGAGTCTTTTATCTAAACTACGAGACAAATGCATCATTTGATATCACAGTCGTGTCATAAGTTGTTTTTCAAAGTCAGGGCTTGTATTTTGCAAAAACAGCCGTGAACTGAAATTACCTTGGATCATGTTGTTTACACATGCGACTATCGATATACAAAACGATCATTGATGCCTGTCCCCGGAGTCAGTAAAGTTAGTTTGTAGAAGAAAAAACTTTGGCTCTAGACTAAACAAATAATAAAATCCAAAAATGGAATAAAACGAGCGAAATTAGCAAGGATTGAAGCACTTAGGCATATTGCATATATTATAAATTACTATCGGTTATTATAGCCTAATACCATGGTAATGCCAGATTTAGACATTGCATTTATGAAAGTTCAGAGAATTATTATGTTGTCACCTTGAAGCCCAGAGCGAGGCTCTTGAAAAATTATATATAATAAGAATATTCATATCATAAAATGTTTCAGGCTTTGAGTGTGTTATTTTTGTTTTCGATCTTCCAATTCAACCACGCACAGAACTATTTTGAAACCATATCGAATGTTTTACGTAAATACGAACAATGATTTGAACCCATCGGGCAACTTCAGAAAAGAAGAAAACGCCAATATCTATATACTCAATCAATACAATCTAAAAGCCCAATGGTGGTTGCAAAACACAAATGCTTATCGAGAACAATTTCAATAAATCAAAACACAACTAACAACGGATGTGACTTATTCCCCTGCCAGACATCAACCACAAACAGGGTGGTTCAAATCTAGCTTCCTTTTGTCGTTTTTTGCGTTACTTAAATGAAAATATTAACAAAATAGTTCTAGGCGCTCGCTACCAATTGTTAACTTATTTACATACCATTTCAAATTGATACAATCTCAAATGAATGATGATGTTTTTACATTTATGAGTATAGGACAATCAATACAGTTTCTCTGCATCTTAAATGTCAGACTTTTTCATTGGTGATATATGGAATGATTGTTTCGCTACATCTGCCGAAATCAAAGGTAAATGTAAAATAAGTAAGATCATTTTCAGACTTGAAATCTTGCCAGGAGTCGCTAAGTGCAAATGTTACAACTTTTACTTTCAACAAATTTCCTCAAATTGGCAGATAGCATTTACTTGAAAGGAACTTATTACAATAAAACTTCTTAATTATAACAATTGAAACGTTTATGGCTCTAGATAGGATGCGATTGGTTTGGGAACAAGGGGATACGAATAAATCAAACCATGATTTAAAACTAAGAACCGGTGTTAGCTTGGTACAACCGAATTCGTCCGAATCCGTTGCTTTCGGCCTTGACTTGCCCCAAGCCTAAGTAAACTCTTAGAGTGAATGGATTTTAAAACTGAACGTACCGATTATGAATCAAAGAATAACAAAACAGGGTTAGAGACTAATCTACCTTTGGCAAAACAACATCCTGCATCTGATACGTCATTGATTCATCAAAGTCTTCAAATCCAAAAGTGTCACCAATATCACAAAACAGCAAGCAATAAGGCAAATGCGAAAATGATTGAATAGAATTATATAAAGAAGGTTCTTAGTTTGGCGTGAAAACATTGAAATGTGAAGAATACTCTCAATTGGCGTAGCGCTCAGGGCCATACTATGAATGTAAGGGAAGTTATTGCAATTGGTAAAGGTCAAAATATTATATTTATCTCTACTTCGCAATGTATACTGTTTTCTTGCTGATTGGTTGGACATTTTTAGAGCCATAAACCTATGTTTAGTCACTAAATGCGTTATTTCCAGCAGTTTTACGTGCATATAGTTTTTAACTTTAGTTCAATGCCGGGACCATAATTATCAGAGGTCACACGTGGCAAGACTAAAAAACTAATATACGACAGCTTAAAAACCATTTCCTGTGTCCATAGACTTACAATGAACGCTAAACATAAAGCATTAAGAGCAGAACGAATATGATTTCCCTACCCGGACTTTTTGCGAACAAGTTTTAAAATTACTTTTATTGCTACACATATGGACAAGATCTGATATAAAATGTCATTTTCATCTCGTTTTAATCAATTGTTTGTGTTTTGCAATCTTGGACTGTTTGGGTGTAATTTTGCAAGAAAGCACTCAAATCACTAATTAACTGCAATTTATCTTTATAGTTTCTTTATCTTGTACATAATTTACGAAATTGAATGATATCAGCTGCAGTGAGTAGATGGATAAGTTACAGTACAACTGTAAAAACCACAGGCCCTGACATTGAGACGACAAATCCCATTGAAAAAAACACGACTGTACTTTTTTAATACAAATTATAGTAACTAAGAAAAGGAGACGCGAAAAATAAAGTATATAGGCATGTAGTTGATACTACCAATTTGCTTAAAAATTTAATAAAAGTAATAATTTCATTCAATTTTTAAAGAGAACCAACGAGGAATATGTAAAAACAAGACGACATTTTAAGTTCGGCATTTTGCTTCCCTGGAGGTCGCGGTGACAAGACTTCCTACTTCCCGCACATTACAAGCTTAAAGTTAAATATATCATTTAGATTCTATCAAAAGTCAGTATAATATACGATATAATTATATACCCCTAATAGAAATAAAGTATATTTTAAAACGCCTTTGTGATTAATAGATATTTGAATATAATTTTGTAGAGCTGATTTTTCATTTAGGCACCTAATCGCCGAAGCTAATGATCATTTCCAGAATGTGGGCGAATCGTTTAAGAATTAAAAAGTAGATAATAACGAGGAGAATGTTCTTTCATAAGTTGTTCTAGATTCTTACTCCTGATCTAAAGATGCACAGATCATTGTATATTTGGCATTGCATTGTTTGCATATGTTTGTGATGCGTAGGGGTGTAAATTGTACTGGAATTCAAGTCTAACCAATTAATCAATGCAAGCCCTTTTCTGATGGAAAGAACCAGTTGCTTTGCTTGGTATTTAGAGCAACAATGCATCATCAAGTCTTAATTTGCGAAATGTATGTACAGTATTTCTTTGGTTTAGTATTATTTACAGGTTTAGCGTTGCCCCTTTAGGAAATGCATTAATATGAAGAATCCCTGAAAATGATTTACAACCTCGGCAAAATCGTTAATATGAACAAATAACAAACGATACAAAGAAATGTATTTTCTTCAATGAACTGTGAGCATAATTCATAAGAATGCATACTTACCAATTAGCTTTGACCATTGTGCATGTGGACGATAAAGGGGGAACTGCTTCGGAAACGCCACCTTGGACCATTCCGTCTCGACCGTCAGTCGATACTTGGCTAGTCCCCTGCAACCCTTTGCCTTCGCCACCTTCATCGGCGCCGCCGATGTCACCACGACCATCATCGCCATCACGATACTGATCAGCCCAACTGCCTGCATCTTCGCAAATGTTTGACTTAACAATAAGTTACTTCAATAAATAAGTTAGATATAAGTTAACTGCCTCAGTTACAAGTATAATTGAGGCAGTACGTTGGACGCCGTGGGTTTATATAGCTCTGTTTGGAAGCAGTGAATCGAACGCCAACCAATAAAATACGAGCTTGTCTTGGCTCTAATTTGTTCATAGCTGTCAAAAAGTTTTTGCAGACTTAAAGGTTCAACCATCCCTGTATCCCGGGTAGCAATAAAAGTCTGGATTTTAGGAAGTAAAAGTTCTCTAATTGAGTTGAACAAGATGGTAACACTATCATATTCAAGGTCAACTAATTGTAAATGTGCACGGCTGATGACGTCAATAAAGCCCGTGAGAACTTGAACCTTTTTTCACTATTACATATTATGACCACCACAACAAAGAAACATTTGTCTGTTTTCAACGAAAATTGGAAATGCAATGGAATCAGCACCATGAAATGTGGTAGGTGGGCCTCTCAGTAGATTGTTAATGACCCGGTGAAGCAGAGTACGATATGTTTCGACAAACACTCTGAAACTGGCACATGCTATTGGGAGGGAGGGAAAGATCGTTCTGGGCCAGGTACTATCCATGCACCCTTCGTCTACGTTTTGTCAAACGATTAAAAGAGATTAACTATAAAAGCCATTAATTTGTTCAAAGTACTTTTATACTCGATTCAAAATTTATTTTTTTAGACTTGCGAACTTACTCCCTAAGTATGGAGTTGATTGTTCATATCGGATTTACCCTTTGCATTCCTTCGACCTCGCTTATTCTTCAGTAGTTTATAACTAGACTCTGCGCGCAGGGTATATCGGATGTTGGATATTTTTCTGTGCTTATCTTTGTTATTTCTGTTGATGCCCCCTGTGTTATCTCATGAGATAGTTCATGCGATAGAAATTCATTGGTACGTTTGTGTATTGTTTTCATTCACAGAGTTTTGTTACGTTTCGTTTTTAATGCTTTCCTTTGGGTCTTTTTATCATGTTCAAGGCCAAGGTTTTGGATTGAAAAACACAAAGGTCAAATGCAAAGAATAGACAGGAAATGCATTGCTACTTACTTATTACAGCATTGATAAAAGCATCAAACGACACAATGTTGAACATATGTAGCAATAACATATACTATGAATACACAAACAATCATCAGCAACCGAAGCCATCTGATGTTAAGGGGCAGGAGCACTTCTGGAACACACACATACACACAATACGAAACTGAAAAGGGCGATACCACCTATGAAGTGTAACAATTGTAAAAGATAGATCATTTGAAATCTCCTCAGATATCCTTAAACAAATATGACCAATTCATACTGTCTATCAGATCATTCAGACTACTATCAATAGAGAGAGTCTCAAGAGTTCAAGTAAACGACAACAAACCTAGACAACATCAATTCATCTATTACCATTGTATATAATAATACAACACGTCACGTACAAGGTTACCTAAAGGGCAGATTTGAGTGCCTCATAAACAGAAAATCAAGGAGACCGCTCGAGAATCCGATACTTTGAATTGCTCTCTAGGATTTGTTTATATTGTTTCTGATAATTAGCAAGTGTTGTTAATTTTATCAACGTACAAATTGGGACAAAAGGTCTGAGGACCAAGTATTCTGAAATGCATTGCTTATATTTGACAAAATTTGACGAGACTTGCATTAATTAGATATTAAATATGTATTAATTTTCGAATATTGTGTGAAAAATAAGAAATATCTGAAATACTAAATTAATTTTGATGAATTAAAAATAGTGTTTCTTTTTCAATTACTAAACTACCTCATTCAGATTAAAGCATACATGCCATAAATCAAGTGTATAGCATAATCTTGAATTGATTCTTAAGTTCTACTAGCATTAGTGTGAAACCCCATTGTCAGACTACTAAGCCAGCCTAGCGTTTTCTCTAGAAACGCTAAATGCACCAACTTCACGCTTTCAAATATACCTTTAAGGTTCCACATGTGGTGCACAGAATCGACTTGATTTCTTTTTCTTGTCCGCCAATTTGAAAATAATGATCTAGACTTTAATGCATATTGAATCATGGCGGATATCTTAAATATATTTGACGAATGCGAAATTATATATAGAAAGTGCTTCAAAGAAGACTTCAAGCCAAGAAATATTTTGGTATTTCCGTGATCGGGGGTAAGATCCAGCGGGGCCAGACCGTTTGTAAGATATGTAACACCCTTTTATTTATAGCATACGCTTCAGGTGAATATTGATGAGGTCTATAAATTTTTGTTGTTCTAATTTTTGATTCCCAACATAAGCATTCGTTTCACCTAGAGGCGCTAGATTTTTTGCAAATGAATGCCTATTGAGAATTGTTGTTTCTTTACACCTCTATAATGTTATCTAATAAATATTTTCAAGACTGGTTGAATCAAGTTTGATTAATACGAATTGAAATTTCGGATAACAATAATAACAGTATTAATTAATACAATTGAATACAAGAGTAGGTCTTGATAAACAAATTAAGCAAATGAGAACATGTGAACTTAGTGAACTTCATAAACTATAATCATTCATGGGGCCTATTATAAAGGAATGCCTATAAAAGTAATCATAGATCATGAAATCAAAAACATAAAACAGTTGTTAAATCTGTAAATTTACAAATCCCTTTCTTTTTTGACACCAATTGTTCTACTGCACTAGATTATACCTGCAAAGGTCGAGGTCACCCAACTTTGCTTTTATACATTTTTACAATAAAGAAGACCGTGACATTAATGATAAGCATATATCTCAATTATGTATTATGTATTACGGACAAGATTTCTAAAGAAAGCAGTTTTGAATTGTTTAAATGCGTCCGACATTATATATGTAACACAATGTCCGACTGCTCTAAGTAGCAACCATAATTTATGGCAAACTCGCAGATACATTTACAACAGAGGATCTTATAAATCAGTGATACCAGGATGAAAAAGTACCAATTAGCCACATATTATTGAATTATCTTCGATTGGTGTCAGTGACAATGATGATTTGCCACATACCTTTCATAATCCCTGATATGATGTAAAATAGTACTTATGAGATATCGTGTCCTTGTTTAACAACGGATTAAATCAAATGTTCAGTTCAAAACAAAATAAACAATATTATTAACACGTCCGCTTTCTACTCCACAATAAACCATTTTAATCTCAAGACATATTATTATTATATTAAATATACATTTAAAATAATTGCATTATATGAAAGTGACAGAATAATGCTTATTTTAAGAATGACAATCGAACGCCTTCTAGATCTCTATAAATCCTAGATTAACCCTTAATAGTTTAAGTATTAACATATATTAGGATCTATAATTTAGACAGTTGTTATTTTGAAGAAAGTATAATGCCAAAAATAGATTTAGATTATTCTAGAGCAAAGTGAATAAACTGAGTAAGATGACTTCATTCTCAAATAAATTAATAAAAAAATACATTTATAATCCTAGATTTAAACAATAGTCCGGGTTGAATACCCATACGGGCAGTAAACTAACAAAGGTGACTGGTGTTTTTAAATTCGTACAAGATGGATTAAGGATACGATAGTTTCAAAGACTAAGGATCAAGATGTTATATTTATCAAGAATAAATCTTGAATAAAACATGTATTTTTGACTCGATCTTGATGTGATCAACTTGGTTTAAATTACAATTATGTGACTTTTCTTTGATTTATACATCCCCGTGGGTCTAGATGTAGATTGAAGTAAGTTATCTTAGTCAGTGTGTGATAAGGTCATATTGACACTGTCACGCTTAGACGTCATGCTCCATGGATGATTCAAATGACTGAATTGACGTATGTAGTGCTACGTCAGTTGACGTAAAGAAATTGAGAGTGAGCATCACGAACAAAGGTTCCTTAAGCAGGTCTCGCTTTTATGTAGATACAGGGAATATTTCTAGAAAAATTTACACTTACGTTCTCACATTTTTACAAATAAAACTATGGAAACGAAGTCAAGTGGCAGATGGATTCCCTTTCTAGTACGACTTACTGATGCACCAGGAACCTTTGGTGGTCTGCCTAATATGAACCATGGCAATAAGTGATCTGTTTCTACAATCACAAAACTATCACGTCTATACATCTGACGTGTACTATCATTTTTTCGTTGATAGATAACTGTGTCAGAGACTCAGAATGTGCGTCAACGAAAGGTGTCGACCTTTGAAACCAAGATTGTTAGCAAACGCCATGAGTTCATTAAACCATTATTATATGTATATTATGTATTTCTATGAATGATCTGTTTCCGCATTCACAAAACATTCACCTCTGTTCTGTTGATAGAAAGCTATTCGTCTCAGAATGTAGTTTAACAAAAGGTGTCGACCTTTGAAACCAGGATTGTTTGTAAATGCCACGAGTTTCTTAAACCATTCATAACATATAATAGATAACTCTTGTTTTTCGACGATCTGAAGACATTACAGTAAAACATGAACTTTTCGCATGCACTTTAATTTCGCGATTAGTGTATACATCGCGAAAACGCAAAAATTAGATGCACATGAAATTAAAGTGTTTTACAGTACATTTAGTTCAAAACCAGAAAATATGCCTCCAATCAAGTTATCAATATATTAATCGTTTTCAATCTGTTTTACAAATGCGTTATTTATTGAGCCTAATCCATGAACAAATGACATAATTACTATGGCTCCAAGCTAGTATTACTTTACGAAATAAATAACTGGTTCCATTTTTCCTAATCTCGAGACAGAGGATGTTATTAAACGATGAGACACATCCAATATATCAGCTTTTATGGTAGAGAGTGGCCCAGAATAATAGCAGTGAAAATAGGATGCAATGCAAATATATGGTTTTCGATATATATGAATACTAATACCCAAAAAATCTATTTTCTAAAATATCAAGAATTTAAATTCGAAAGTGGTCGTTGGTTCCGCATTGCGAGCTCATTGTATCCGCACCGAGCGTTCTTTGTTAGAACCGCCTGGATAGGGTGCACAATTGTAAAAGCGATGCATTATATAATGAACTTTAATTGTGATTTGACCTTGAATAACTTGCAATTGGATACAAACAAATTATAGATGGGAGTATGTGTTAATTTGAAAAAACAGTGGAAATAGAATTTCAAGATAAAACGCATGGCCTATATTGCAATCTGTCAATTCATAAGAACAGGGGCTAAAAGAGACAAAAAAGTATAAAAACAGAGTATCAAAATCACAAGACTGCAACCAAAACAAATATCCTT